CCCTAGGAATCTGGGCTGCAAGCCAAGAAGCAGTGCATTGTCAGGGTTCTGAGGTTCCCTCTACCTCTCCAAAATTCTAAGAATTCTGAGGAAGGAGAAATTCTGGATTGAGATTAGAGAGAAGCAACTTGAAGTGCTTGATGGAGGAAAGAGTGAGTTTGGGTCAGGCTGTACCTTGTACTCTGATTGCAAGAAAGTTGGTGACACCATATAGGTGGAGGACTGTTTACACTGTCTCAAGTGAAGGTGGAGCAGTCCCCCCTAAGAGCTCAAAGGTACAAGGGGACAGATAATCCCATGGTGATCGGTAAGAAAATGAGCCTAGGTGATGGAAACAGAACACAACACTGGGGTCACAGCTGGTGATAGGTGTGTTTGGGTGCGGTGTCAGAGTGTGCATGGTGGTGGGTAACAGCCTACTGTGGGGTCAGGTGAGGAATCATCCAACTCTGGAAGAAGAAGAGAGCATAACTGAGATGACACACTGGGGACACTTGTACTGATTCCATGGGGACCAAATCCCACAGAGCAAGTCAGGCACAGCATACGCTGCCTGGAAAAGACTCGACCCCCAACTCTGTCCAAAGGAATGAGGGACCAGGGGAAAAGGATCAGAGGGTATAGTCAACAACCTCTCCATCATTTAATTACCCTCAACCTCTGCTTTTCAATTTACTGGATGCTAGAAAAGCCCTAGAGATGTTTTGAACAACAATCATCAGTCATTCCACAAAAATTAAAGGTTTCTCATGTGCCAGATCCTGTGTTAGGCATGGAGATGAAGTGATGGTCAAGAGAAATAAGATTCCTGCCCTTTTGATGTTTTAACCCAGCATGGCAAGAAGTCACTATAAGGTGAGATAAATGTTACAAGGGAAGTATAGGCTTCTACACATGCAGGAATTAACTCACTATAAGCTAGGAATTGGAAAGTTTCTCAGAAGTGACATGTGAACTGATACCTGAAGGATGAGCAAAACAAAACTTGGTTAGGCAGAGCTGGCAGAGAGAGAGATGTGAGAAACAAATAGCGCAGACAAAGGCTTGGAAATAAAACATACACACACACAATGCATTCAAGGAACTGCTAGAAGTTTAGTAGGACTAGAGCACAGATTGGAAAGAGAATGATGAGAAAGGAGACTGGAGAGGCAGAGGCCAAACCATGGAGGAAATTTTTATCAATAAGACTATATCACAAGTAATAGTAAATTCAGAGTGGCTAACCAGTAAGATAATTTATTGGCTCACAAGACTGAAAAAAAAGTCCAGATGCAAGCAGGCGTAGGTTAACTTAATCCAGTAGCTCCATCAACTCACCACCATTCCATTCTGCCTTCCATGGTTTTGCCTCCATCTTAAGGCTGGCTTCCATTGTGGCTACAAGAAGGCCGTCCACAGTTCCTGTGGCTGTGTGCTTCCTTATCCATGTGTGGACAAAGCAAAAGTGGGTTCCCTCAACCATCAAATAGTACAGACACAGAGCTTCACTTTGATTGGACCCACGCAGGCGGGAGATAGCCCTGAGGAAACTTGGCTCTCATCAATGTATAGAAGCCATGGAGTGGGTGAAACTGCCCACAAAGGGTATGAAGAAGGACATGGGGAGAAGGCCTGAGGGTCTCCAACACAAGCCCATTCCTCCTCACCCTGGGCATCCACTTCAGTTCCAAAATGACTGATGGCAAAGCAGACTAAATGGTGGCTCCCATGAAGATATGGCCATATCCTCACACCTAGAACCTGTGAATGTGACCTTTTGGGAAAATGGTCTTTGCAGATATAATTAAGTCAAGAATCTTGAAATAAGATCATCCTGGATTACTCTGGTGGGCCCTAAATGCAACGACAAATGTCTCTGTAAGAGACATCCAGTAGAAAAACAAAAGGACAAGAAGAGAAGGTCATGTGAAGTCAAGGCAGAGACTGGAGTGATGCAGCCTCAAGCCAAGGAATGTGCCTGGAGCTGCCAAAAGCTAGAGGAGGCCTGGAGCCTTCAGGAGGAGCAGGGCCCTGACAGCACCTCGAGGTCAGACTTCCAGCCTCTCGAACCACAAGAGAGTACATTTCTGTTGTTTCAAGCCACCCAGTTTGTGGTAATTTGTTAGAGCAGTTCTAGGAAAGTAATATAGATGGTGAGGTAGGCCAGAACTGCAGGTCAGCCCCAAGGCCCCAGAGGGCTTTGCTTCCAATCCATGGCTAGGGAGTAGGGGGCTTTTTCTCTTCCTACCCTACCAGCAAATAGCTCCCTCCTCTGCAACCCTGGGAGCAGCAGAGACATAGTGCTCAGTGTTTTTGAAGACACAGATCCTAATGACCAAAAACTTGACTTTGAACAGCCATAGAAAGGTCGTGTGCCAGGCAGGGGGTGCCCTAGTCAGTCCTGAGTACACTCTGTCCCAACCTGGCGAGGTTCAGGAAACAAGACTCTGAGAGCTCAAACCTGTTTTAGGGTTGGGCAGACTCCCAGCTGCAAAGGCACAATCCAGGGTCAGAGTCTACATTCCCCACCCAAATCAGAGACAGTCACAGGCAGAGACAGACTGCACAAGAAAGAGACAGCACCATGGAGAATGGCATTTGGGAACTTAGGGAGCTGTAACAGAGAGAGATTTGACTTGGACACATCTGGACTCTGAAATACTTAGGAAAAAACAGCAGAGATGACAGGGACATGTGTGGCCATATAGAGTGCTACAGAAAAGTGTACAAAGAGATCCTGATAGAGACATAAAAAGGAGAAAGATAGAAATGCTCAGGACATTTAGAAAGAAGGAAAATGAAATAAAGCTGGGATTGGTATTGGAAAAAGATCTCTGGATATACAAACTCCAGTTAGCATGGTGCTTCTGAAATGGCAACCTGGATTGTTAAGCAAACTACCTCCTAAGATGACAGCTTGGAGGGCAGCTGTTGGTCAGCCATACAAATTTGGCAAACAGTATGACAATCACTCTGACAAGGCAGATAACTTGGGGTACCATAAACATGTGATGTCATGCTGCTGGATTAATTGCGGTTTGACACACACAGATCATCCAGATCATCGACAGTGAGCTCCCTGAGGGCAGGGAAGGCATCTTAGTCAATTTGGCTTTTCTCAAGCCCTGTCAAGGTGATCTTCAGAGAGAACAATGCTCAGTAATGGTTACTGAATAAAAGACTTAGTCAAATACTGGACCCTGCCCTTATGGAACTCAAGGCTATTAGAGCAGATAAAATGTCATAAATCACCTTAATATGAGTTGGATGGTGGGCAAGGTTATTAGTGAGGGCAGGCAAAGAACTGCAGTGGTTCAAAGGCACCAGAAATCTCTTTCTGTGATGTAGATTGGTCAAGAAAGACTTCCTGGAGGAGGAGGCCCTTGATCTCAGTTTTGAATAGAAGGGATTTAGACAGGAGAGATAGTAAAATAACTTCTGGCTGTAAAACTGCAAGAGTGAAGCTAGCTGGGGCATTAATGTGGGGTCCTAGGGCCCCTGCTGTGTCAGGCATTACTTCTCTAGATAAGTGATCAGGAGAGTCTCCCCAGGCAGGAGCAGGGTAGCAGGAGCACCCTGCAGCTGAGAGCTAGTTACCAATAGGATTAGAAGTATTTCAATATATCTAATTAACCTATACAGCCATACTGATGCATACCTAATGATGTTAGTCTCAGATATGAACCTTCTGAGATTGCTTTACTCTCTTTTGGTGTGTCAGAGCCATATGGGCCCTATTACAAAGTGAGCCTCTGAACAGTAGAGGTTGTTCTCTAGCTCAGTGTTGCATCCTACTAGGGCCTGCAACACTACCTGGAGGATTAGAGGAGGCTCAATAAATGTACATTCAATGAATAGGCAGACTGGGAACCCCAAGCCCATTCTTGGGGTCCTCTCACTCTGCACCTCCTTGCACCCACTATCCCCTCCAATCCATGCTCCCCACCAGCTCTCAACATGATCTAATAGGAGAACTGGAATCTGTCATCTGCTCAAGATACCTCATGCCTCTCCTTTACCCAGAATACCATCCTCCCCATTGTTTTTACCAATTGAACTGCTACTTATTGACCTGATCAAATTTTGCCTACTTCTGTACTACTATTTGAGGCAGAATTAATCTCTCTCCCCTAGATATTATGATAGTGTTTGCCCTCACTCACTAGACAGCGAGCTCCTCAGGACAGGGACTATCTTACTCATTTCCATACCTCTACTCCATAGCCCAGTGCCTGACATATATAGTAGATGATAAATAAGTATTTGTTGAATATAGGAGTGAACAGCATTCCTTGCAGTGAGAACTAGATGAACAAAGGTGGTCAAAGGTTTGGGGGAAAAATTAATAGTTTGATTTGGCTGGAATATGAAGGACAGTAGTAAGACAAGATGGCAATGTCTCTAGGGTAAGGTTTTTGAAGGGATTTGGAAGTTGACTTGAGGGAGAACATGAGCAGATGGAAAATATTTCGGTAGGCAGTACAAAGCCACTGATGATTTTTAAGCAGAGGTGTAATATGATGAAAAATAAGTTTAAACCCTTAAGAGTCCCTCTCATATATATACTCAGTTTTCCATTCATACTCGGATTTGCTTGTCACCAACCTATCTATCCACCTACCCCAAGACTCCCTAACAGTTTGTCCTACCCTTTTATCTGCTCCCTGGCTGGGCCAGGGATACATACATGGGCTGCTTCCCCTCTCAGTCAGAGGACTTGGGGGCCCTGGTTCCCTGTTTTTCTCCTTCCCTGCCTGGGGTTGGGAAGCCAGCCAGTTAGCAGAGTCTGGCTAGGGAGCAGCCAGGCAGTGCCAGGAAGAGCCTGTATAGTGCCAGGTGGTGCCTTGGGTTCCAGGCTGAGCCCAGAGCCCTGATAACCTTCTGCCTTCACACACACCTGTCCCTCACTCCATCCCTCCACCCCCACCCAGGCTTTGGTATCAGGGAGGGGGCACAGGGCCAGAGAGACCTGCAGGACTTTGGCTCCATTTCTACAAAAGGGCCCTCTGTGAGTCAGCCTGCTCCCCTCCAGGCTTGCTCCTCCCCAACCCAGCTCCTGTTTCCAATGCACGTACAGCCCGTACACACTGTCCCGGGACACCCCACAGCTAGCCACATGGCTCCCCTGTGCCCTAGCCCCTGGATCCCTGGATTGATCCCCGCCGCCTCGGTACCAGGCCCTGCTGTGCGATGGCTGCTGTTACTGTTGCTCCTGGTGCCTGCCTGTCCCCAGAGCCTGCCCCAGAGGCAGGGGGCCACCCCGATGGCAGGAGATTCATCTGGGGAAGATGACCGACTGGGTGACGAGGACCTGCCCAGTGAAGAGCACCTACCTGGAGAGGAGGACTCTCTGAAGTTAGAGGATCTACCTACTGCTGAGACTCCCAGGGACACTCAAGGCCCCCAAAGCAATGCCCACAGGGACAGCAAAGGTGAGTGGCCATCAGCCCTCCAGATCTAGACTCCGGGCAGTTAGTGCCTCACCTTACTAAACTACAGTCGAGGCAGGGATTATTCAGGGAAGGAGGGAAGCCTATTCTGACAGTGGCCTTTCCCACCCACTGGGGCTCCCTTGTCATTAGACCCTTGCCCCATTTCAGAGCTAGAATGGGGATGGATGGGAAGACAAAAAAGGGGCACAGATGGAGAGAGGTGAGCAGAAAGAGATGGGAAAGAAGAGAGGGGGAGGTTGGAGAGAGGAAGCCTATTCTGACAGTGGCCTTTCCCACCCACTGGGGCTCCCTTGTCATTAGACCCTTGCCCCATTTCAGAGCTAGAATGGGGATGGATGGGAAGACAAAAAAGGGGCACAGATGGAGAGAGGTGAGCAGAAAGAGATGGGAAAGAAGAGAGGGGGAGGTTGGAGAGGAGAAATCTGAGGACTGTGGGAAGAGAGAAAACAGGTGGAGAGAAAAGTATGAAGGAAGACAACAAGAAAGATGGTGTTCAGAGGAAGAGCAGAAGGGCTTGTAGGGGTCACCTCATCTTCAGTCTCCAGATGAGGAAACCCAGATCAGGAAGAGGAAAATAGCAGGTCCCACAACTTGGTATCCTGACTCACAAGCCAGGAACTTTGGGAAAGGAGTCAGAGACCAGAAAAGGAAAAGGGAGAAAGGAAGGTGGTCTACTGATTTAGGCCTGGAGACTGAAGCCTCCACCCACTTTACAGACCCTAAGACCGCGGTTGCAAACTGTTCTGTTCAGGGCTGGTAGGATCTTTGTGTGGCCCAGCAAGCTGTGGTGTTAAATATGGCTGCAGTCTATTGTGCTTTATATTTGTCCTGCTTCAGGTATTCGGTTACCTGCTATGCTCGTTTAGGGCATCTGAGTTTGTGAACCCCTGCTAGTGAGGGGGATTCACCTTCTGACCACTGGGAAGGGACGGGGCTCAAAGATCAGCCTCTTCATCTTTTTTTACAGGGGATGATCACAGTCATTGGCGCTATGGAGGTGAGACACCCACTCCCTGCAGACCCAATCCAGTCACCCAGCTTTGCTTATCTGCCCCTCCAACCACCACAAACTCTGGTCTGGGGCGTCACCCACACACCCACACACCAGCGTCCACATCTCCCAGTCCCGGACACTGCCAGCTGCCTGTCTCTGTCCATATCCCTGATTTCTATTTCCCGCCCCTAAGAGTCCACCCCCACTTTTTCTGCTTCCCTAAAAGTTTCCGATGTTGTCACCAGACTTCCTGTCCGCACTTTCCCACTCCAGGCAACCCGCCTTGGCCCCAGGTGTCCCCGGCCTGTGCAGGCCGCTTCCAGTCTCCGGTGGATATCCGCCCCGAGCTCACCGCATTTTGCCCCGCCCTGCGGCCCCTGGAACTATTTGGCTTTGAACTCCCGCCCCTCCCCGAACTGCGCCTGCGTAACAATGGCCACACAGGTGAGGGGGTTGTTCAGGACGGAGCCTCGGGGAAGATGATTGGACGCGGTCTAAACCAGGGGAGCTGCCTGGGCGGTGCTCGGGAGTTAGGCCGGCTCCCGAGCGGGGCAGAGCCAGCCCGCTTCCCTATCTTCCCGCAGTGCAGCTGACTCTGCCTCCCGGGCTGGAGATGACCCTGGGTCCCGGGCGCGAGTACCGGGCCCTGCAGTTGCATCTGCACTGGGGGACTGCGCGTCGCCCGGGCTCGGAGCACACGTTTGGCGGCCACCGTTTCCCTGCTGAGGTGAGAGCGCAGCCTTCCGCGGAGGGGCCAAATGCGGCGCTGGGCCGGGGACCTTGCCCACTCCAACCCTCATGTTGTCTCCAGATCCACGTGGTTCACCTCAGCACTGCATTTGCCAAAGTTGAAGAGGCCTTGGCGCGCCCAGGGGGCCTGGCAGTGTTGGCTGCCTTTCTTCAGGTACCAGCTGTGGACATCCCCCACTCCGTGCTTCTTCACAGGCTCAGTATATTTTGTTCCCAAAGACTCCATCCAGCACACTCACCCTGGCACCTGGCTGTCATCCTGATTCACTCATTAGTTCATTAATTCAGTACCCACAGTGAGCCAGCCACTGCACCACAAAAATAATTCAGATTCACAAAGATTGTGGGTCCTTGTCTCTTAAGGAGCCGAGAGCCAGTGGGGGAGGCTGACATGATAGAATATACACAGTACACAGAGTAAAATTGGTGGACAAGGAAGGCTTCACAGAGAAGGTGAAACTTTCAGCCTTACCTACTGGGAAAGAAATGGAGATACTCTATGTTGAGCCAACATTATGTGAAAAGACTAATATAGTCCATTCAGGGAATGGCAGATGGAATAGACCGGATATCAAGAAGAGTGATCTCTCTAATACCCCTATTACTTATAACTTCCCCTTTATGAAAAGTGGTGAGGTCTAGAGAAACATTTAATGATCTCTTTGGACCTGTAATGATAAGGCTACATACACAATGATTAGAGGATGCTGGTAAAATGGAAGGATGCTAAGACACCTGCTAGGCTCGCTCACTCTCGGATGACTAAACACAGCCTCACAGCACAAAGTTCAGAGATGTGCCTCAGAAATAGTGTGTTCTTGCTCCAAAAGTCAAACGTGAATCATTAAGGTTAATGTAGAGGTGACATGAGTAGAAAGGTTATGGTGGTTTTCTATGGGGGGACCATGGAGTGTGTTTGGAGGCAGTGATGAATGAGACTGGAAAAGATAATAAGGCCCAGGTCATTGAGGGCCTTGTAGCCTGTTAAATAAGGTGGTGCACCTTCCTGCTCCTCCAATTTGCCATTGAAAACCAGTCCACCAGGCTTGTCAGATTAGTTTGCAAAGTGAGAGTAAATCAACTTTGAGTAATAATACCTAGGGTTTTGTGTTCCCCCAGCCCTCTCACAGCTGAGGAATGGGGGAGGACTATGGCAACCCCACCTCACCTTCAGGCCTACAGCCATGGCTCTAGGTACATGCATTAGTCTGTCTTGTACTGTCATCTCCAGGAGGGCCCAGAAGAAAACAGCGCCTATGAGCAGTTGCTATCACATTTGGAAGAAATTGCTGAAGAAGGTCAGTTTATTGGTCTGGCCACTACGCTCTACTCTCAATCTCCTAATTCATAAGGAATCTCCCTTGGGGGGTCTCAGATGAGGATGGAGATGAGCTCCCTCCCACAGGAAGAGAGATGATGTGTGAACTGACTGCTCTTGGTAACTATGAAGCTGAACGGTGGTAAACAAGCAAAGGCAAAATAAACAAAAACCAAACTAAGACAAAAAATAAATAAGACCAAAAAAATAGTGTTTGGAATGTCAGGGGTTGAGTCTGGAGAGCTAAATTTTTCTGAGAACTGTCAGTTTCTCCTTAATAAGCATCAGATATTTTAAATCTGTAAGGACTTTTGTTGGAAATCTTTCCCTTCTCAGTCACTCTGGGTCATTTTAAAACCTCACTACTATACTAGACTTTATGTTTTCTAAACTAGAGGGAACTGTGCTTTTTTGAGTTTTTTGTTTCCCTGCTGGGAAGTGTTTATATTCACTCACAAATTATTCAGCTCATTTTCCCTTTAGATTCACTTTGGGCTTAAATCTGTGGCCCAGCATGTTATAGTAGTATGCAGAGTTTGAGTGAATATTCAGAGGGAAGTTTTAAGGAGCAATTCTCTCACTCTGTGAGGCTCCAAACCCTTTACTTTTCTTCTGAGTTATATCTTGTGGTCAGTAATGGGAAGGGATACACTTAGGGAAGAAGTAGTCTCAGGGAGTTCAGTCAGCTTGGCTTCTGCGAGGTGAAACTACCCCTTTACCCCAAAGCTTCGAGGGTTAGGGAGCAGTCTAGGGGGAACTCCAGCACAGGTCCTCTCCACAGACTCAGAGACTTTGGTCCCAGGACTGGACGTTTCTGCACTGCTGCCTTCTGACCTCAGCCGCTACTTCCGATATGAGGGGTCTCTGACCACACCCCCTTGTGCCCAGGGGGTCATCTGGACTGTGTTCAACCAGACAGTGAGGCTGAGTGCTAAGCAGGTGGGGCTGGGGCATGGTGGGGCCATAGGGGATATGAGGGAAAGGGGTATAGGACGAGATGGAGATAATATAAAGAGATGAAGGGGCCATGCGGGGTATAAGCGGCTTATGGAGAGAGGATGCTGAGGTGCTGGCTGTGAGTAGGATTGTGACCCTTTTGTTTCCTTGTCATGGGCCCACACCTGCTGTCTACTGTCCTCCCCAGCTCCACACTCTCTCTGACGCCCTGTGGGGACCTGACCGCTCTCCACTACAGCTAAACTTTCGAGCAACACAGCCTCTGAATGGCCGAATCATTGAGGCCTCCTTCCCAGCTGGAGTGGACCGCAGCCCTAGAACTGTAGAGCCAGGTGCAGCTTTGTCTAGTGTCCCCCAGCCACAAGTCCCTCAGCCTCTCATATGCCCTCATTTGTGCTTATGTCTGTCACTGGTGGTCACAGCCTTCCCACACTAATACATCCTTTTTCTCTGCAGTCCACCTGAATTCCTGCTTTGCTGCTGGTGAGTTTGTGCCCCTCTTCTGGCTCCTGATGCTGTGGGACACCCCTCTCACTGTTTAGCCTCAGGAGCTAGTCAGGACTCCCTTGGCTCTCTGTTATTCTATGTAGGAGATTGCCAACCCCAATAGGACACAGTATCAGAGCAGGGGATCCCCTTTTCTCCCTAGGGCAAGAATTGGTTAGAATGAATCTAGCATCTTCCTTCCCAACCCACCTCTTGTACTAAGTTTTCACAGAGGAGCAAAGGTGCCTATCTTACCCCTTCTTGTGTTTCCACCCCCATCCCTTGGCTGGCTTCTAGATTCTGAGGCAGACACTGGGGACAGCGGAGAACCTGGGGCTGGAATGAGGGGAACACTGCAGCAGGCTCTGGGGGAACCCTACGGACTCCCCTGCACATCCTGAGGCAGCCTCTCCTCTCCCTCCAGGTGACATCCTGGCCCTGGTTTTTGGCCTCCTCTTTGCTGTCACCAGCATTGCCTTCCTTGTGCAAATGATAAGGCAGCAAAGGTAACCCACTGACCCTGTCCCTCAGGCACAGCCTCCACTCCGTGGGGTCTGGAAGTTCCATGCAAATTGCATGCAAATGAGCTCATTTCAGGGCACGGGCCAATTTCCTGATTAGGCTTTCCTGTTGTGTAGACTCAGAAGTGGGACCAAAGGGAATGTCAGCTACCACCCAGCAGAGGTAACCGAGACTGCTGCCTAGAGGCCTGGAACTTGGAGAATGTGCAGAGACGCCACTGAGGAATCTGAGGGGGAACTGGAGACTTTGTTCTGTCCTACCCAGTACACTACTTTTTTACCTTCAGATATATATATTTTTAATGTTTCTAATAAAATATGTGAAAGGCAGCTTTGTTCCCCAAATCGGAAGGTTGGTATGTTCATTTCCCTTTGCTACCATAACAAATTACTACAAACTTAATGGTAATTCAGATTTATTCTCTTAAGAGTTCTGGAGGTCAGATGTCCAAAATGAATCTTGAGCTTTGAAGTCTGGGGTTAAAAGGAGCAGTTCCTTCTGGACACTGAGAGAAGAATGTTTCCTGTCCTTTTCAGCTTCTGGAAGCCAAGCATTCCTTACCTTGTGGCCCCCTCCTTACACTCCAGCCTCTTGCTTCTATCATCACATCTCCTGCAACTGTCTGACCTTCCTGCCTCCCTCTTACAAGGACCCTTGTGATTACATGGGGCCTATCCAGATAACCTAGGATAACCTCCCCATCTCAAAATCCTTAGCTTAATTAAAAGTCCCATTTCTCATATAAGGTAACATTTCACATGATTGGGTGTGGACATCTTTGGTGGGGTGGGCCTCTTTCTGCCTATGACAGATATTATCAGGAAGGGATGAGAAATGACTTAAGATCTTTGGAATGGCTGTGTGTATGTGCGCACACCAGCGTGTGTCGGGGTAGAGCAGGCTCAGCCACTAGGCTTAAAATCACACTGAGGTTTTTTTCCTGCTCCAGTAAAATCTGTGTAGCTTTGTGCTTTGTCTTCAGGTTGTGTGGTCTGGCCCAGCCACCTGCTGGAACGGGGCAGCACTGCCGACAGCAGCCCTTTCCCAGCAGGTAGTAAGGCCAGGGTGTCCCTCCAACCTTGCCGGGCCTCTCTGCTTCACGTAGCCCTTTCACACCCCTCCCCAATAAGCCCAGTACCCCCACACCTTGGCTCCCACTGAAAATGAAGTCCTGCAGAGCCTGAACCCAGGTCCTGCTCACTTGGGTCCTTCCAGCAGCTCTACTCCCCTCAGGCATCCTCTAAGCTGTCTCCACTTTGGAAAACTACCACCATCATCACCAACATCAAAAAAAGGCTTAAAGAGCCCTGTAACGCAGGTAATGTTAGTTTTATTGGGTTGGGAGCAACTGTAGCCTGGCTGTGTGCAGGGCCAGCCCTCACAGGTTGTTGAGCTCCAGCAGGGTCTGGTCGAGGGTCTGGTGAATCTCCACGTTCTCCTCCTTGGCACTGGCCAAGGTCTCTGTGAGGGGAGGCAGCACGTGAGGAGGGGGAGGGGAGACACAAAAGGAGGCTTGGATGGGGTACATGCCAGACAGACATGGAGTGGGTTGGAGGCAAAGGAGGACACAAGCGTTCTGGGACCTGAGGGCCCCATTGCTGGGGCAAATGGATGGACTGACCAGGACAGGCATGGATGCCTCACTCAAGGCTTCAGAGTCACGGGGGTGGGACAGGAAGTCCTGAGTCATAAACTAATTTACCTTCCTTCTTTAGAGGTTTAAGAGAGTTGGAAACAGAAGGAAAGACAAAGACCAGGAAAGGGTGGGCCAGACAGACAGACTGACTTGAGGCAGAAGACAGAACTGCAGTGAAAACCCCACCTTGCTGGCATCCAGTGTTTTTCCAAACTTCATCCTAGACCTCTCAGTCTTCTTGCCCCTCCCCTGCACCTCACCACCTCATTTCCCTTCCAGTCATTCCTTTATTTCCTGGAACCCCACTCGAGTGCTCCGAAGTCAGTAACAGGCCTAGATCTGCAGAAGGCTGTGTCAGAGGCACCAGAGGGCTCCTGGGGATTGATGGGGTCATACATAATCACATGCAGCAGTGAGTCAGGCAGACAGACTGGGAGTGCCGTGTGGAGGGGGTTTCACTGTGAGCCACAGTGTTTCGTGGGTGAGCTCAGTGCAGGGGTCACAAGATTGGGGTATCTGTACGAGTCAGGGTCTCAGCAGTAAACCAGTGCTCTGTGATGGAAGTGTTCTCTGGAGGGCAGGAAAACATCATGGAGACCAAGTTGAATTTATTAAGCAGCAGAGAGGTAGAGGCTGGAGGGCAGAGGAGGGGAGTGATGGACAGAAGGATGAAGCAAATACCAGGGTGGGTGGCAGGTGTGATGGGAATTCTGCTAGGCAGCACCCAGCCTGGCTATGCAATGCTGACACTTTCTGCTCCTCCCGCCTGCCCCCTCCTCCCCACAGTGAGAATGGAAAAGAGAGGAGAGGAGGGGCTGAGGGGGCCACACTGGTGCAGGGCTCAGAGGGAAGTGATGTCGTTGAGTGCGTTGTCCAGCTCCTCGCTGATGGCCTTGTATTTCATCTTCTGTGCATAGACTTCATCTGGGGATCCAGGGGAGGGGAGCCAGGTGGGAGTATGGGGAGAGGGAATGGAGGGAAAGAGGAAAGGAAGGAGAGAGGGTAATGGAAAGAGAATAAGAATCAGAGACAGGTGAACAAAGACAGAGTGAGAAAGGCCAGAGAACAGGCTGGGCAGGGCTCCCTCCTCTCCTCTGTGTACTCCTGTCTCTTTTGTCCTTCTCTGGGCTCCCCACTGGTTCTTCTCCCTGGAGCCCTACTTCCTCCTACACTTCCCTGAGGGACCTGAAGGCACAGGGCTTTGGATAAGCAGGAGTGCTTCCCTCAAGGGGAGGGTGCTTGAGCCAGAAAGGTCTAAAGTGAAGTCCTAAAGTTGGACATAAAATTGAGGCTTGCCTGAGAAGACTGGAAGTAAGACAAAAAGGAAAGGATTATTATAGAATAAAAAAGGGAAGACAGTTTTAGGCACAGCGTTGCTAATGATAATGCAAAATACTAGCAAAAACAGACAAGCAGATACCTGGATGTTTGTTTTCACCCTACCTAGCTTAAAAGAGTATTTTCCATTAACATCATGAAAACTTAGGTACTGAACCAAACAGCTCTCTATGTAATAAAGAAATCTTGTGATACAGCTCTACTGTGTTGCACTTAGAGACAGAATTGTCTAGATCAGTGCTACTCAAAGTGTGGTCTGAGGACAGCATTGCTAGGAAGCTTGTCAGACATAGAAATTCTCCAGCCCAAAGTCAGCAAGCACTTCAGAGTAGGACCCAGGAATCTGTGTTTTAAAAACTCTTGGGGGGCTTCTCAAGTTTGAGAAGCACTGCAGTTGGTGCAGTGTAGTAGTTACAACAGGAGGCACAGCCAGCTGGCATCTGTGGAATCCTAGGTGGTCCAACCCTAACCTATCAGTGGCAAATATAACAGGAAGGGAAGATAAGACACTGCCAGGCATTAGAAGTGTGGACCAACTTTAAAAGGCTGGGGGGGTTTATATGCCTTTTACCTTCCAGGTCATCAATGGTTTTCTCCAACTTTGCCACAGATCTTTCGGCAAACTCTGCTCGGGTCTCAGCCTGGGAGTAAAGGTGAGATGGGGGACATGACAAAAATTAAGCCCTCCTAGACACTACCACTTAAGTTAACCTCTTCCCCCCGTCCCCAAATTCCCTTCCACAGGCAGTTTCTGGCAGGGATTGGAGGGATTGATGGGAAGGTAGGGACTGAAGGACTCTCACCTCCTTTAGCTTCTCCTCCAGCAATTTGATCTCCTCTTCATATTTATCTTCTTTGGTGGAATACTTTCAGGGACAGACACATGCCATGAGTAGTTCGCCTCCATAAATCTTTTATTTCTCCACTGAGCCCCATAGGCTACTCATGATCTTGTCTCCATGGGACACCCAGCCCCTCCCTGCCTGGGCCCACTGCCTCCCTCTGCTGCAGAACCCCATCCTCACTGCCCTTCTACCCTCCTCTACCTTGTCCGCTTGGGCTTCCAGGGATTTCAAGTTGTTGGTAACAATTTTCAGCTCCTCCTCTAGGTCCCCACATTTACTGCAGGGGGTGTGTGGTAGGGTGGGGTGTGAGGGCACAGTGCGGGGAGATGGTGGAGGTGGCACAGCGAGGGAGGGGTGGAGAGAAGAGAAGAGCGAAGTTGTGAGAGTGACAGCAAGCAGAATCCGGAAGCCCCAAGCCCTTCCCGACCCCTAGCAGGTGAGAGAGCAGCTTGAGATGGAGGAGATGGTGAGCTGAGAGAAGGCGCCACTGCCCAAGAGGTCACTACCTCCTCCTCTGAGGCCACCAGGGACTTGAGGGCCTGGTCCATGGTTCGTAGTTCCTCCTCCAGTTGCCTGGCACGACTGAGGGCAGCAGGTAGGTGTCAGAGGAGAGGGCCTGTCCCTGGCCCATGCCTGGGAAACTGCTTCCCCACTGCCTAGGGTGCCCTGCAGTCATGGCTCAGGCCAAGTTTCACTTGCCATTCCAGGGTATCCTTACCTCTCAGCCACCTCAGCTCTCTCTTCTGAGCGCTCCAGCTCTCCTTCAAGGATCACCAGCTTTCTAGCCACCTGCGGTTGGGGGAGAGAGCAGGAGCAGATCCATGGTGAATGATGGAGCAAGCATCAGTGGTTTGGGAAGGAGAAGGAAGTAGGACAGTGCTGTCACCTCTTCATATTTTCGGTCTGAATCCTCAGCGATGTGCTTGGCCTCCTTCAGCTGCATCTCCTGCAGCTCCATCTTTTCCTCATCCTTCATGGCTCGGTTTTCAATGACCTTCATGCCTCTGCGAGGGCAGGAAGAGGAGTGGCAGTGGAGTCAGGACCAGCAGCGACAGGCCCCCAGCCCCCTCCTTGGCCTACCCCTGAGGGATCCCCTTGCCCACCTCTCACTCTCATCAGCTGCCTTCTCAGCCTCCTCCAGCTTCTGCAGGGCTGTAGCCAGACGCTCCTGCGCCCGGTCCAGCTCCTCTTCTACGAGCTGAATACGACGGTTCAGGGAGGCCACATCTGCCTCAGCCTGTGGGTCAAAGGTCATAGGTCAGAAAGGGCTTTGTCTGCCATGATGAGCATCAGACAGGCTCCAGAGGTTGGTAAGATTCTTGTGAAAGAACCTAGGTTTCCTGGCTTCCAGACGTTCAACCTAAAAAAAAACCCTTTTCCCCCTAACCAACCATCTTTTGCTCAGACTGCTACAGCACAATACATGCTTTCCTTAACAAGCTCCACTTCCTTGCTACAAGGCTTCTTCTGACATTGTTCAGAGTTAGTCTCCCAATAGTTATTTGCACACAGGTCCCTCTGTACCCCTGAGAGCATTCCAAGTGCTGGGACCCAGTCAGAGGCTGCCCCGACTCCTCTGTAGCAGAGCTTGGTCCAGGTGAGGGGGTGGGGAAGAATCAGGTCAACCAGACCTCACCGCTAAAAATAGCCAATCACAGAGTCAAGCTCCACGATGTTACTGGCTGCCAGGGAGACTCCCAGCGAAGGGCTCAGGAGGTAAGCCAGACCTATATGGGACATCCATGGTTGTAACCAGGGGCTTCCTGCCGAAGCCTGGAGGCAACTGAGGGCAGTGTGAGAGACATAAACTCAGCCCCTGATTCTGCAATATAGAGGCAAAAGCATGGAGGTTTTGGAGAAGGTCCATGGAAAATGATACTTTGAGAAAAAAGAGAAGGCAGAGCAAGAGGGGGCCCCAATAAAGGAAAATCTGAGAGGCAGTGCTATTTGGTGTTAAGAGCATTGGCTCTAAGACTGCTGTCTTTGAGCCATGATTCAACCACTAAACGCTTGCGTGACCTTGGGCCACTTACTTAGTCCTTCTAAGCCTCAGTTTCCTCGTTTATAAATAGCAGTTCCTCCTTCATAGGCTGTAACGAGATAATGCACTGCTTCCAATAATTAATCAACAGGAGCAGGTGGGAGGCTTATAAAACCAAACAAATTCTCTAGTTCCAAGTTACATCCACTGAACTGAGATCTCCAGAGCTGGAGCTTGCATATCCTTTAATCTTTTCTTTTTCTTTCTTTCCTTTTTTTTTTTTTTTAAAGCTTTGCAAGCTTTTGGGAATGCAGAAAGCCTTTAAGCACATTGCGTGCAGAGCACACACTCCATAAATGTTTGGTTATCCCTGTCTCCCTCTGAGACACACAGACTAGAGACCCTGAGATTTAAGATTGGGAAGGAGGAAGGACCAGTGAAGGGGAAGATGTGAATGAGAGGGAAGAGGTGGGTGGCAGCACTGCGGGCAGAGAAAGTAGCAGACAGGTCCTGGCTGGTACTGTAGGGCAGGGGAAATGCAGCACCATATACACAACTTAGTTGTAGCTTGTCCTCCAGGTGTTAAAGGCAACCTAAGATGACAAGGGCCCATCATGGGCACAGGGCCAGATGACTCAGTATGGAAGGATTCTGGGGACAGCACTGGGGGTTGGGAAGAATGACGCTGGGGGACATTGTGGGGTCTAGAGAGATGAGACTCTGTAAAAGAAAGCTGTCTTCATGGTTGTGGGGTGACAAATGACCCAGAAGTCTGGGAAGTCCTGGGGCCCTCATCACAGGACTGCCATTTACCATTTTCTGCTTCTTAAGCTCTTCCCTATTATGGATACTGCTCTCTAACCACAGGACAGGCACTACTGTCCCCACTGGACAAATGTGAAGCAAGAGAGAAGGGAGAAACTGAGGCATTGTGTAAGTTAAATACTACATTCAAGGTCACGCAGTAAGTTTGGGCAGTGTTTCCTATCTACTCCTGGCATTGCTGCCCTGCTTCCCCAGTCTGTCCCTGTCCTTCCCTCCAGCCCCCACACAGCTCCTTGGGTTTCCAGTCCTGCCTCCAGTTGCACTGGGCTTTGGTTATTTATAGAACATCAGATGCCCAGGGTTGTCTTTACTAGCAGCTGCAGGTCAGTTCCCTCTCAAGTGCCAGGGCTGGTGGAGGACCAAAACCAAAGTCTGGAGGTCAGAGAAACCAACTTTGTGGGGGATTGGGAACATGGATAGCGGTCAAAACAGTCATGTCATCTTGGACCTCAGATGTTCAGACCATGCTTATGCTAATCCTCCCATACTTCCAATGACAGCTTATCTTAGACTTTAAACAGTCCTGGGTGGAAGGCAAGTGGGGAAACAGACCAACAATGGTGTATTATGTCCAAAGCCGTATGGGCCATTCTCCAGCTTCAAGTTGGGAGTTGGGGATGGCAGGAAGAGGAGAAGTCTGGTTAAGAGTGTGGAGTGGGCAGAGAGGTCTCAGAGTGAACAGGACACGCCAAAATGCCTGCCTTGGCATTTGTGACCCTGTCCCTGTGCCCTGTGGCCTGGCATGGTCTTGAGGGTGACAGCTTAATGAGGGTAAATGAGGTACCGTTAGAACCTGAGTTGGTCTCTGTGCATATCAGGGCCACTGAAGTCGGAGGTGAAGGTCTAATGGTCCCCCAGGGGTATAACTCAAGTCCAAGCCCATCTTTGGATTCCTGTCCTCTGTCCAACAGCACGTACACCCACACCCCAAACCCCACAAATGTAGTTGCAGTCTCCTCTTCATTTGCAGCTGGAGGAGTAATTGAGGTGGATGGTAAATTCTTGTGCCACCCACCCCCACGATGACTCACAGCTTGATCACTGTATATTCTGAGTTGGAACCAAATGGAATTACAAGGCTAAGTCGTCTGGGGAAGTGGTGGGTGGTTTGATTTACCCACTGCCTTGGATTATTTGTGCAAGCTTGTCCTGGCCTGGGCTTCTACGGTGAAACCATTTCTATTCTGGTACCAGGGTTGCCTAGGTACCCTTTGCCCTTCATCACCTGTCTGGGACCCCTCCCAGTGCACTAACCCTCTCACAATCCCCAGGTCCACACTCACATCCGTGGCCTTCTTCTCAGCCTGCTCCAGTTTCTCCTGGGCATCCTTCACCGACTCAGAATACTTTTCCACCTCATCTTCTGTCCCTTTCAGCTTCTTCTGGAGTCCTTGCTGCTCCTCCTCCAGCTGGGGGAGAGAGGCCCAGGTTAGTTCAGCCAAGGAAGAAGGCAGGTGTATGTGTGAAGGGGTACCAAGAAATATTTCAAAGCTATCAGGGAGGAAGAGGGAAAGCAGAGGAGGTACAGTGCAGCCAGGAGTGTTACTGGGACCTGGTGGGGTAAAAAGAAAGCTTCCAGCCCCAAGGAACTGGACCCATCACTGCTTTGCAAGGGCAGGAGTAGAAATTGGGGACTAGGGTTCCCCAGGCCATTGGTGGGTTAAATTAAGTGTGGCTCTGACTACTATGAAGGCCCAGCCCCAACAGGGAACGGGAGGGGAGAGCACCTTGGATGGAGCCCAGAGGCTAGAGCGCACAGGGCAGGGCCTACCCCACTTTCATTTCGGGGGGTTTGCTCTGGCCAGGGTCCCCACCTGCTTGCAGCGGTCCTCGGCTTGCTTTTTGTCGGCCTCGGCCTGTTCAGCGCGGTCAATGGCATTCTCCTTGTCCAGCTTTAACATCTGCATCTTCTTCTTGATGGCATCCATGACTGCGGTGGGGGACCGGCCGGCTGGCGAGAGGTGCGGTCCGACTTAACTGGGCTGACTGCGCGGACTGGGCGCACCGGTGGCGGGAAAGTAGCACCAAGCTGGACTGGGACGTCCCAGCCCCGCGGGCGCCTAAAAGGATGGGTGGGACCGGGCGGAGCTGGGGGCCGGGACCCTCCCCCACAGCGGCCCAAACCTTGTAGGGGCAGAAGCAAGCCCCGCCGGGGAGGGGCGCGGCCGCCCCCTGCGCCCACCCCCTCGGGACCGCCCCCTCGGGGCCCCACCCCGCCCCTTTCCTCTCTCCACCCGCCCCCCCGCCGTCGAAGGGAAAATAGCTCGGAAGGTGCTGGGAATACACTAGCCCTGTTGAGGTGTGGGGAGCATTCGGGCTGGGGGCTCGGCGCTTTCTCTTGAGTGACAGCCCGGTCTACTGGCAGCTGCAGCTGGGGCCCCTGGGGCTATTTTGGGGCGTGAGCTCACGGCAGCTGCGCTGGCGCAGGGGCCGGCGTGCCCCCCTCAGCTGTAGCAGCCGCTGCCCTTAATTTAGAAGGTTCCTGTAAATCCTCCTGGATTAAATGTCTCTTGAGAGGCGGGGCTCTTCCACAGCTTGAGTGCCTCAGTTTACCCTGAGTCCCAGACTCTGGGTTTGCGTCACCGAGGTGGTGGTGATAGCGGAGAGTCTCACCGAGGACTTGAGGAAACTGAGGTAGGAGTGCAGCCCAGAGCCCCCGTCGCAGTGCGGAGCGCGGCCCCCGAGGGCGGGCCTGACCTCTCTTACCCTGGTTCCCCTTCAAGCCCCTGCCCCTCCTCTGCGCTCGCCGGGCGGCTGGTACTCAGCTCGGCGTCCCGCCTGCCCCGCCCCCCACGTGTCCCGCATATTTTCCACGCGCTACAGCCCCGCTGGCCTTCGCGCGCTCCCCGCTCCCTCCTCCACCCCAACCCGGGAAGCGGCTCTTTTCAGTCCGCCCCTCGCCCCGCTCCAGGCCGTACTGGCCCGCCGCCCCTCCACTCACCCCTCCCCGCCCACGCCCTCCCCTCTCCCTGGTTGCCCCTCGCGCCCTCCCTTCTCCAACCCTTCCCCCCGCGGAGTCGCCTCTCTTCCCTTGGGGGCCAGCTTTACGCCGAAATTTCTTTTCTGCCCTTTTTTGGGATGTTTTCCCGTGGGGAGGCGGGGCCGGTCGGGGCGGAGGAGGCAGGGGCGAGGGGATGAGTTACTGAGCTGCAGGGCGTCGGGAGCGGGCGTGCGATACCTCCTCCAACTGAGGCCTCGAGAAGGACCTCCCGGGGCCGGGCCCTAGGGTCGTGGGGTGTCAGGCGCCGGGCGCGAGGCCGTTTGTTTAAAATTTTCCTTGGAGGGGGCTGTGGGGAGAGGAAGTGGAGAGCGTGCTGGGAGGAGGGAGAAGGGGAGAGCGGGCGGAGGAAACCTGGAGGAAGCGGTTCGCCTCGCTCCCCAGCGGCAGACGGGTGGGAGGCTGGATTTTGATGGTGGGAGAGGAACCGTGGGAACTGCTGGACCCGGCGCTGAAGGAGGCGGGGCGCGGAAATGTATTTAGATTTGTTTAGCTGCCTGCTTGCTACACTGGGAACAAACTTGACCTCGCAGTGTTCACACCACCCCATCGCCCTGTTTTCCCCAAACTCATGTTAAGACACTCCGAACACTCTGTAGCCAGTGCTAAGACCTTTGGGGGTTATCGGAGCTCTCCTGCTCCTCACTTCCCATATCCACTTAATCCCGTAAATTCTGTTTCCTACGAACGAGGTTTCCCCTTGACGTCTCTGGGGTTCTTGGACAGCTCCTTGTATTTCCTTCTGCCTGGGTCTGTTGGGGTCTAACTCTTGCTTTTCTAACTCATTCATTCATTCAGCCATTCCTTGACATTGTTAACAAAGATCTTTAAAAAAAAAGTTGATGTGAGTTCCTAAATGCTCCAAAAACCCCTCCTTATTCCCCACCTCTTTTGAGGATAAAAAGCCACATTTCTTCGTGTGGTATATAAGGCCCTTTGTTTTGGCTCCTGTCATCTCTCTGCCTCATGTTTCATTCTCAACCCCCACCCCCAGTATCCAGACTTGTACTTCAAGCTGCATTCACACTGAACTACTGCAGGAGCTGGAAATAGCCGAGCTTTTCTTAAAGCGTCCACCTTTTATTACTCTGTACCCTATCCCTAAAATGTTGTTCCCTTAGCTGATTGATTGCTGGTGGCTTAAAAGACTCAGATCAAACGTCAGCTCTTCTGGGAAAACTTTCCCTGGCCACTTCCCCTTCCACTCGCTCCACCCAAGAGGTGCATGCGCTTGGTACAGGCGCCTGTCATTCTCATCATAGTCCCTGTTACAACTGTTCTTATACCTGTTTGTCTCCTCCACTGGTCTGTGAGTCCCCAGAAGAGGGATTTTGAATCCCCAATGCCTAGTGTAGCATTAGGCATAAAGTTGGTTCTTGATAAAACGTTTGCCAGGTGAATTTTTTATGCACTCTTAAAAATTAAGAGCAGGATTTGAAGATCCAAAAAGCTTTTGTTGAAGTGGGTTATATCTATTAATACCATGTTAAAATGGAAACTGATAATAATTTTGAATATTGATTCATTAAAAATAACAAAAATGAAACTATTTTTATAGGTCATGGACACATTGACCATGTTAACATTAATGTTTTTAATGACAACTATATTCACCTCCCCAAATTAGTGAGAGGATGGCAGTTATTTTACATTTTTGCAAATCTCTAATATTTGGTTTAACAGAGGACAGCTGAATTCTCAAAATCTGCTTGTGCTTTCTATCTGTTGCTATATATTGGTTTGTTTGAAATAGTATATATGAACAAAGTCTAACAGACACATAATTTGAAGAGAGTAGTGTATTTATAGTATTTTCAAGTAATTGTGCATATTCTTTGATACTACACCAACACTTAACAAATGGTAGTTTCATTTCTTGATTTTATTTTTTATATTGAGGTTCATATGCTAAAATGCACAAGTCTTAGTGTACAGCTTGGTGAATTTTGACAATCACAAAGATCAAGGTATCAAACATTCTCATTAATTTTTCTCCCTTCATGTTTCACCTATCCCCACCTTCCTCTCCTGTGGCAGCCACCAGGCTGTTCTTTGTATCTATAAGTCTACTTCTGTTTTGTTTGTTCATTTGTTTTGGTTTTTAGATTCCACACAGAAGTCATGTGGTACTCCTCTTTCTCTGTCTGACTTATTTCACTTAGCATGATACCTTCTAAGTCCATCCATGTTGTAACAAATGGCAAGATTTCATTCTTTTTTATGGCTGAGTAAATACTCCATTGTATCCATGTACATCTTTTTACCCATTCATCTATTGATGGACATTTAGGTTGCTTCCATACTTTGGCTATTGTACATAATGCAGCAATAAACACAGGAGAATGAGTATCTTTTCAGATTAGTGATTTTTTGGGGTGGTGGTATATATAAATTCCTAGAATTGCTGGGTTGTATGGTATTTCTATTTCTAATTTTTAAGAAACCTCCATCTGCTTTCCTGTATAGTGACTGCACCAATTAACAGTCCCACCAGATGTGTATGAGGCTTCCTCTTCTCCACATCCTCCCCAACAATGATTTGCATTTCCCTGATGATTAGTGATGCTGAACATCTTTTCATGTGTCTTTTGGCCATCTGTATGTCTTTGGAAAAATCTCTATTCAGGTCCTTTGCCCATATTTTAATTAGATTATTTGTAGTTTTTTTTTGGTGTTGAGTTATATGAGTTCTTTACATATTTGGGTATTAACCCCTTATCAAATATATCATTTATAAATATAGTCTCCCATTTAGTAGGTTGTCTTTCAGTTTGTTGATGATTTCCTTTGCTGTGCAGAAGCGTTTCAGTTTGATATAGTCACACTTGTTTTTACTTTTGATTCCCTTGCCTCTGGAGACATCCAGAAACAGATTACTAACGCTAATGTTCAAGAGTTCAGTGCCTGTGTTTTCTTCTAGGAGATTGTGGACTCGGCTTTTTTTTTTTAAATTTTGGTATCACTAATCTACAATTACATGAGGAACTTTATGTTAACTAGACTTCCCCCATCATGTCCCCCCCACATACGCCATTACAGTCACTGTCCATCAGCATACTAAGATGCAATAGAATCACTACTTGTCTTCTCTGTGTTGTACAGCCCTCCCCGTACCCCTGCTACATTATGTCTGCTAATAGTAACACCCCCTTTTTTTCCCCCCTTATCCCTCCCTTCCCACCCATCCTCCCCAGTCCCTTTCCCTTTAGTAACTGTTAGTCCATTCTTGGGTTCTGTGAGTCTGCTGCTGTTTTGTTCCTTCAGTTTTAATTTTTGTTGTTATACTCCACATATGAGTGAAATCATTTGGTATTTGTCTTTCTCTGCCTGACTTATTTCACTGAGCATAATACCCTCTAGATCCATCCATGTTGTTGCAAATGGTAGGATTTGTTTTCTTCTTATGGCTGAATAGTATTCCATTGTGTATATGTACCACATCTCCTTTATCCATTCATCTGCTGATGGACACTTAGGTTGCTTCCATTTCTTGGCTATTGTAAATAGTGCTGTGATAAACATAGGGGTGCATATGTCTTTTTCAAACTGAGCCCACATTTTTAATTCAGGATATTTAAGAAAGCATAACAAACTGTCTCTAGAAAATTCAGAAGATGTGGTGGCTCCACACTCGGGTCCCCTGGGCCACAGGGGCAGGAGAAAGTGCCCTCTGCCCCTGAGACATTTCTGGTGCTCTTGTTGCCACTTCTCGGGACTCCAGTCAGCCCTGTGAAGCAGGACCTCCCATCAAAACAAACCTTGTTAGTCTCTTGCATGATCCTAACAGCAAGGACTGTTTGTTGGGTGCCTGCTATGTGTTTCAGGCCTCCCCCAGCTTTGGGAACTGTCCCCTTATTAGTTCATTTTCATTTCATGAAAAGGAAAACTGAGGTGCCTGCCCCCAAAGCAGAGTAGGGACTTTTGGGCAGCCCTGTGTGTGTGGAATGTCCAGCTCACAGCACTGCCAGGCCACCAGGTATAGGGATGGACACATAGGCTTTGTGAGGTCACCCTGCCACCTTGAGGAGCTCCCCGTCGGTGCTTCCTGCTCTCTGTGTTGGTCAGTCCAGGAGGCCTTGGCTGTGCTGAGGCTGCCTGCCAGGGGTGAGATGGGTGGTTGGGATACCCCAAGATGACGAAGCGCCCCGCAGGCCTGAATCTGTAAATGGCAGACTGTGTATCAAACAGTGCGAGACTAGTTTTTACTTAGGTTTTCTTTCTTTTTTATGTTTTTAATAACAAGAAAAGAGAATCCTGCATTTTCAGGTTCCCAGACTAAATGACTGCTGACCTGCTCTGGAAGCCTGGAACACGTGAGGATGTTTTAGCTGTAGAGTGGAGCATGAACACTACCAGCCCACTTAGTAGTAGTGGTGGTACTGGAAGTGACAGAACAGAGAGTATACCCAGCATGTCTTGAACACTGCTGTGCTGAGAACTATGATTTGAACCTCACATACATTAGTTTATTTTATCCTCCTCAAACCCTGTGAAGTATGACTTATTCTTAGTCTCATTTCACAAGTGGGTAATGCAGGTTCAAAGACGTTAAGTAACTTGTCTAAGGGCACACAGCTGGCAGTGAGTAGAATCAGATATGAAACCCGGTCCACAGGGCACCAAAGTATTTCATTTA